ATCGCACCTACCTCCTTCCTGATCTCTCCCACCTGTCTGATCGCACCTGCCTCCTTCCTGATCTATCCCGCCTGCTTGATCTCACCTACTTCCTTCCTGATCTCTCCCACCTGTCTGATCGCACCTACCTCCTTCCTGATCTCTCCCGCCTGACTGAGCTCACCTACCTCCTTCCTGATCTATCCCACCTGTCTGATCGCACCTACCTCCTTCCTGATCTCTCCCGCCTGTCTGAGCTCACCTACCTCCTTCCTGATCTCTCCCGCCTGCTTGATCTCACCTACCTCCTTCCTGATCTCTCCCGCCTGACTGAGCTCACCTACCTCCTTCCTGATCTCTCCCGCCTGTCTGATCGCACCTACCTCCTTCCTGATCTCTCCCGCCTGTCTGATCGCACCTACCTCCTTCCTGATCTCTCCCGCCTGCTTGATCTCACCTACTTCCTTCCTGATCTCTCCCGCCTGTCTGATCGCACCTACCTCCTTCCTGATCTCTCCCGCCTGCTTGATCTCACCTACTTCCTTCCTGATCTCTCCCGCCTGTCTGATCGCACCTGCCTCCTTCCTGATCTATCCCGCCTGCTTGATCTCACCTACCTCCTTCCTGATCTCTCCCGCCTGCTTGATCTCACCTACCTCCTTCCTGATCTATCCCACCTGTCTGATCTCACCTACCTCCTTCCTGATCTATCCCACCTGTCTGATCGCACCTACCTCCTTCCTGATCTCTCCCACCTGTCTGATCTCACCTACCTCCTTCCTGATCTCTCCCACCTGTCTGATCTCACCTACCTCCTTTCTGATCTCTCCCCTCTGTCTGATCTCTTCCACCTGTCTGAACTCACCTACCTCCTTCCTGATCTCTCCCGCCTGTCTGATCTCCCCCACCTGCCTGATCTCCCCCACCTGTCTGAACTCACCTACATCCTTCCTGATCTCTCCCGCCTGTCTGATCTCTCCCACCTCCCTGATCTCCCCCACCTGTCTGAACTCACCTACCTCCTTCCTGATCTCTCCCGCCTTTCTGAACCTTCTTACTAATCAAGGGATCTTATTTTACTTCACTTTAGCTCGAGCATGAAGAGACTTGCGAGATCCTTACTACTCAAGGGTTCTTCTTCTTCACTTTAGCTCGAGGATTAAGAGACTTGCGAGATCCTTGCTACTCAAGGGTTCTTCTTCTTCACTTTATCTCGAGGATTAAGAGACTTGCGAGATCCTTACTACTCAAGGGTTCTTCTTCTTTACTTTACCTCGAGAATGAAGAGACTAACGAGTTCCTTTCTACTCCAGGATTCTTATTCTTCACTTAAGCTCGAGGATGATGAGACACGAGAATTCCTTATTAGGACCATTTCAGTGGTAATACATTCTCCGATTAACACCCGTCACAAGTGACAGGCCATTTGGATTTGTGCATACGGTCGACGTCCTGTCCTTTTAGTAAAGTCTTCTTCAAAAGAACAGTTCATTTTGAGGTGTGGAGGTGTGGACATACCACCGTCTTCAAATATCACGAGTGTCCCCAATGATATCACCATTATGTTGACAAACGACCTGATTGTTACTAACTATGCGTTTAGACCATTTATATGATTGATTTTAATAACATGGGTTCAGTTTTAATGGTTTTCATTGCTTACTGTTTACTTGGGTTGGAACTGGATTTTACTTAGCGCAATAACCAGAGCATCTCACCATAGAGATCGGGAATGTTTTAAACGTAAAGCAAGATTTGCGCCTTGAGAAATTGTTTGGCATGAAGATACGGAACTATAAAATTACGTAATTGCATTTACATAAGAAATAAATATCAATAAATCTTAATATGTCATGTGTCAATTTCATGCTCTAGAAAGTGTCCATTTAAACGTATAAATCTTCATATTCCTCTTGCCAATAATTTGCATTTGTAACATTTCTATTATTTTCTGATGTCTATTTACAATAAATTCACAGTCGAGACAATGTAAACAGCATTAATCTGAGCTCCACTTGATTTCAGTATGGTAATAATAAGCGAAAGTCCACGGCGATTGCATTAGAGCATGATGACTATTCACATATACCTTACAAACCGACAGCTCAGCACAAACCAAATTCAACACTTTCAAGTGATTATAATAAAGCTTTCACCGCCTGTACAATTCACTCTGTTAGCTAATCTGCTATGTGCACGAGAGAATGTTAGTAATCACATAGTGACATACAGTATAACCGATTTCAACACTTGCACATAATTATGATATAGATGTCACCGCCAGTACAATCACCTCCGTCTGTAAATCCGATATGTGCATTAGACCATTATTCGACTCACATACCGTGCAACGCGCCAGGGAAAGTACCATACGTCCCAATCAGTTACCTGTCAAAATCACTGCAAGGAGAGTACGTAATCCCCGCTGACACAGTGGAGTACTAATTAAAACTCAGGGACAAATTCCAGTAATGTTACACTCCACTTTATCAGTTATATTTGGAACTTGCTAATGATATCGGTCGACTTAATTACACTGCATTTTGCACATACAGAACAATTATATAACAATACATATCAATTATCTCCCTTTACAAATATATACAAGGAAAAAGAGTTTTGTAATCATCATCTTAACAACATTGTCTATCTCATATTTACAAAATTGTTTAGGCTTTGGATATCTCATCAATACAAAGAATAAAGCGACAAAACCCTTTCCGTATATAATAGAATCTAATAGAGTCGACAGTACGATTCGGACCAAATCATGAGCATGTGTTTTTGAATCACTATCAAATAGTGATGATACCAGGTGTTGGCGAAAAGGTGAGTCTGCATCTGTCACCAACACATGCAAAGGCAAATCAATTGTTCACCGAACAAAACACGAGAACATATGGTAGAAGACAAAATAGGGAATTGTATTGGACATCATTTTTGTTACTGATGTGTCAAATTTGGTAATGTCCTCCACATGGCTATCATAAATCCTTTTGAAAGCTTTACTGAGGCCTTGAATGTTTGTTATCAAACACCTTCTGTGCAAAAGTCGTATCGAACTCTTTGAAATCTTGGTAGAGAGATTATGCTCGATTGTATCTCAAACTTTGTGAAATGTAAACACCAAAGGCTGGAGCTGCTGGAATATTGCTCCACATTAAAGGAAAGTTGACTGTTGAAAAGTTGAAGCCATCCCTCTTGTCATACAGTATTGTGGAGAGTGTTTTGTCACGCTGAATCTTTATTCATAGATCTAAATGTGAAACATATGAGGCGGTCTCACTGGTCGCCTATATTATTTCTAGTTCAGGAGAGTAAATCGGTGGAAGGGATTGGCTATTTGATTGTTATTGAACGATATCAGATCATCGATTTAAAAAAAAGCTTACGTTAAACTTCCTGACCAAATTACCTTCTTTTGACTTTGCCAACCCAAGCAGTAATTCCGATTCATATGCATGACGAAACAGGTCCTCAAGACGGGGAGTATAATTGGCACCCATGGGGATGCCTACTTCTTGCCTTAATGTCTCATCCCAAAATTTCACATATTGTTTTCTCAGTAAACTTCAGATGACACTTGCTTTCACAAATTGTCCTGAACCTATGAATATAGATACATGTACTTAACTGTTTCTGTGGTCACAACGTGTTGTAACAAAAGCCCCTAGGATCAAGGAATGAAGTATTTCCTTAAGTCTTTCATAAGGGATAGTGGTGTACATAGTTGAAAAATCAGATGTTTTGACAGAATGGAGCTTTTCTGAGATTGCAAAACAGTCAAGAAAATCCTTTGAGTTTTTGAGAATCTACATGTACTAATTCCTCTTGTCTCAAATACTTTCTGTGAATATAAAGAAAGTCCTTCCTCGATAGTATTGGGGATTATGGTTAGTAGTCGAGACAAGGATTTGTTGGTACATTTGCTGCACCCAGCATTATATCTCTCTTTGTACCGTTTTTTTATGGAGCCTTGGAATCCAGTAGAAAGGAGGAATGGTCATGTCTTCAGGTTTTAAGTCAAAAGTCGATAGTACTGATGCATGGTTATGGCAGATTTCTCCGTCAGTCAAAATACTGGCCTTATATGTGGCAGTATTTGATATGTCATACATAGATCAAACAATTAATGTAGCGATGTTTACATATAATGGCTATGTTATTTGAGGTCATACACATTCAACATCAACTGTTTAACATCTGCTGAGTAGCGCATCTTGTCATTGAATGAACACGGTCGCTGTGTAGCACGTGCAGACCGTGCTTGCGCTGTTCCTTCCACGGTTTGTCCCCCTACGTGTCATGTACACATTTCTATACAAAATTACATGATAGTTTCTTAGAGAACTTCATCCGTCATGGGTCTTAAAATAAACAAAATTCAGATTTTGTTGGGTACAGGGTATTCATGGTCAAGTACCGTATTGAAGTTTCATACACTTTTCTGGATTTCGAGTTATTTTGCAATTCATCGTTCTCATTTGGAGTCAAACGGACTGTACACACTATTCACTTAGGGCAGCCATACTTTGGATGACAAAGCATATACAAGGTTGTATAGCGGGACCTTTTTGGCAGTGGTAGTATTATTACTTTACTTCTTATTGATGAAGATGCAAGGTTAGAATAGGTATGAGAGACGGGCAATGTTTCCAATAAGCATCGGGCTATGTTCTAATACCACGGACACCAGATAAAATAAAATATGTTTTTTCCATAGCCTATTCGGTGTTAGTTTACAATTGTTACAACATGTTGCAGGGATCACACCAAGACGAAAACATGAACGAAAACGATACACTATGAAATCGTGTGCTCGGGTGTGATCACATTCTGCTTGCAACTGACACGTGTCAAGGTCTCGTTAAGTTCGTTACGCAGTTGTGTCACCAGGTGTTGGTATATGATTATTTCATTCACGCCACCCTTGAACACCATATGATGTATCCCGGATCACGTTCCCTCCAGGAATATAAAGGCTGAATTACTTTGTACCTTCCACACACAGCGCGGCTAGACCGACCCGCGGGAGAAACGTCACTCTGTTACGTGAAACAATGAGACACGGAACAGCATATGTGTTACTGTGCACATTTGTATCAGTTGTTGCAGTTAGCTCTCCATGTCCACCGGGATTTGTGGAGCACAAGAAGTCGTGCTATTGGTTCTCCAAGATAAAGGCGAATTTTGCTGAAGCAAGGGTAAGCTTTATGTGGCAGGTAATTTCCTAGACTTTCTTACCAATTCATTTTAATACTGTAACATATGTCTACATACTTTCCCTTTCCTTCGGCGAAGGAAGCTTAGGTTTTGAACTCGTAAGGTCACATTCTGGACAGTTTACTCAGTAAACATTACTTCGAGTATTAAGGCGCAACTCCTGGTAATAATGCAGCCCAATGGTAATGGGGATCCATTAATGCTGTATGAAGCAAGGGTAAGGTTTTGTCTTCAGTGTCAGGTAATTTCCTTGACTTTCCAACCGATTCGTTTTATTCTATGGCTACATACTTGCCCCTCCATTTGCTGAAGCAAGGGTATTTTTTCACTTATAACTCTCGTCTGACATTAACACATTTGAAAAATCGAGGTACAGCATTTGGTCATACTGGGCCATGTAATTGGGGATGCTTTTAGGTTTTCTCTGAATTTGACAGTCGCCACTGACCTTTGTGTTTGAACCCGTGCGGTGCTAGGACATCCATGGGATAAGATATCATGTAGATCTCATGTATAATCATGGACATTTTTGTGACGTATTGACGTCTGGACTGGGCACATGAATATATTACGTCACAAGCTAGGTGATAAGTCAGTCGGAGAGTGACTCACAAACTTGCTTTTAGGACAGTGGCGTAACTACCATAAAGACTAATAGACATTCGTCTAAATAAAGATTATTAGGTATTTTTCGAAAGCACAAAATTAATTTTGTCCGCCAGCTAGAGTAATTGGCCTTCAGCAAAGGTAAGCTAATATAGCCTACTGCATTGTCATAACGTTTCAGAGTGCAGCCAGTACAAAAGTTTACGGCTCGTCAAGTTCCGGGGTAGAATAGGTCTTCAGCAACCCATGCTTGCCGTAAAAGGCGACTATGCTTGTCGTAAGGGGCGAGTAACGGGATCGGGTGGTCAGGCTCGCTGACTTGGTTGATGCATGTCATTGATCCCGATTGCGTGGATCGATGCCAATGATGTCAATCACTGGATTGTCTGGTCCAGACTTGATTAACTACAGACTGCCGCCAATAGCTGGAATATTGCCTTTTACGGCAAGCATTGGGCTGTTGAAGACTTGTTCTAACCCGGATCTTCACGGGTCAACAATGATTAGAGGACGGATGGTCACAGTAAACTCGCTTCACTCAATCACCAGTTGCAGTGAAAAGGGCCGAATGGCATCGTCGTATTCATTGACACTAGTTTATAGAGAGAGAGATAAACTTAGTTGAGATTACCGATTCTGAAAATTGTACTTTTAACAAAACCTTTATCTGCACATTCCATTCATTTATGTTTACATATTAGTAAATGTTCCCGATTGTCGTTATTCCATTAGCGATCTACTTCCAAATAGTGAACGCCTGTTCCAAGTAGTTACATTTTTAAATGTTAATGTTATACTTACAGTCATACTGTCAGTACTTTGGAAGTCACCTCGCTAGAGTGACCAGCAGAGATGAAGATGACTTTGTCAGGGGTCATGCGACCATCCATGGAAAAGGTGAGCAGGAACAACATTCATATTCAAAAGTAAAAGCATCTACATTGTATCTTACTCTGTACTCTGTAGTCCCAAATCTTCAACATGGCGCGTTGGAGGTTAGATGAAGTGACATGTGGCGAATAACAGGTATAATTAAAACAGCAATGCCATGCAAAACTGTTGATTGTCAGCTCAATTACCTCAGGTAGGTTATACACAGATTGGCAAAGAAACATCTTCAAACTAATCAGGTAAAGAACTTGTGTGACGTCAGCGCAAGAAAACCGCCAACTTCTTTGCCTGGATAGATGACAACCCGCTGTCACAAGGACCTTTCTGAAGGAGAACCGGTTGTCCCACAGAGAAGAGTCATCACGGACATTGAGAAATCTACTCCAATTAGTTGTTTTGATCTCTGTGTGTGCGTGCGTGCGTGCGTGCGTGCGTGCGTGCGTGCGTGCGTGCGTGCGTGCGTGCGTGTCTGCGTAGTTTGGGTGGGGTGGTGTTCATGCGTCCTACGCTATATGATCGTCATTGCAGGGACCGATTAATATGGTGTTTGGCGAGACGTGGCTAGAACATGCAGAGATTGATGACAGCAGCTTCTGACCCTTTCTTTGGAGATGATCATGAACTGGGGTTTCCCGTCGCTTGGCTGCAACATAGTCGTTGTACCGAAACATCTAGTGGCAGGTTCATGCGTCCTATCCTGGCTCCGAACGTTGTGCAACATTATTTATATCCACCCTGTGACTAATAGACCTGCCCACAAGGACGACAATACGAGATCCCACTGTTTTCGAGTTTCTACGGCAGGACACCATCACGACCATCTCTTGTTCTGCCATGAGCCAAGATCAAATCTGGCACAAACAGGGCCACGAGGTGTCAATAGCCAATCTACAGGAACTGACACTAGCATTGCACTGTTGATAGCAAAACCTACCCCCCGAGAATAAATCAGATGACTCACCGGATACAAGAGAAGGAGGAGTAGTGGCTTTACACGTTATTGACAATCTCGTAACAGGAAGTCAACAACGAACCAGTCACAACTGTCAAGGGCGCCCTCCATAATGAAGTTCACGTACCACATTTGCCAATAATACACACAATGAAATATCCAGCAATATTATGAATACTAATTTCTTAAATGCAAAGATTGCTAAATTGTCAACTAAGGATTACTCTTTAAAGAAAGAACACGTGGTTTCTATACCACAGATTTAAGGCCAGGGCACATACTCTTAAACCTCATGGCACAATTAGCATGTGCGCGGTACTAATTTCCAGGTGTTATATATCAATATTGTAACAGTTACATATCATTTTTGCCTTATATCTCAGGAAATGTTTATGCCGTCACGACACAGCATGCCTGTGCACTCCTAACGTTACTGAGATCAGAAATGTTTGAATATGAATCCATTTCCATCTTCTCCTTCATTGCAGCTGCTACCTACTGGCTTGGTGCTACTGACCTGAACGTAGAAGGAACATGGCTCTGGGAGGGCCAACAGGCCATGGATTACAGCAACTGGAGTACAGGCCAACCTGATAATTATGGAGGGGGGGAACACTGTCTGGATATCAAACAGAGTTATGGAAATTATCTGTGGAATGATGCACCCTGTACTAGCCATGCTGCTAACTTCATTTGTGAGAAGGGAGTCAAGGCTTAGCTACCATCTCTGCCACAGTCAATGAAGTAACAATTTTGAAAACTGAATAAAGTTAACGAATTGAAGATTTGTTTTTGTCGTCTGATTCCTTTGAGCAGTTTTAACGTAAGTGTCTTTGTTATAATAATGCTTTTAAACCTTTGACGGTTATCTTCATTTCATAATGATGAAGCTGACTAAGTCACACACATTTTACCATATCACACGATTGAATATCTATCAAATGCCGTAGCTTCCTTGAGATTATGGTGGTGGATAGGCCTCCACCACGCATACAAGAACTTACGAGTAATGAAGATTGAGTGGTCCTAATGTGTCATCAAATGGATCCTTTATCAGACCTTTTAATCTGCAGGTCTTGAATACTTATTTCTTAGGTAAAAAATATCATCAATCTCTTCACAAACTTCACATTGAACAGATCTTCACATCTCATTAAAACCACCATTTACCAACCCCATTCATTTACCATAGACTCCTAAGATGGTGAATAATGTTAAACGCACATAAGTCTGCTCCCGAAATGCATACTGGATAAGTAGTTGATTTTCTGCACTTAGTGTAAATATGAGTGATGCATAGGCATTTATACAGTTTGACACCCACCCAGGAAAGATCATACTTCAATGATCTCACACAAAGTGAAAGTCGAATCCGATGTTTTTGTGCCTTACCTTCTGATACAATGTATGATTTTAACACCAGTTCAGCGGCACATGACCACATATATCGATGTAAAGCAGATAATGTATTAATGCGTTTCTACAACATGGAATATACCTGGAATATACTTACATTTTACCTAATGCAATGTAATGTAAACCAACATAATGATTACATAACAGTACTTAATTTAGAGTTTGCTCTATTCAAAATTGCTTTGTTGAAGTGAACATGACTTTCCTGTTAATTAACTTGTCAAACCAAATACATACTGAAACAAGTTTCGGAGATGTCCATGTTTATTCGCATGTCCTGTTGCCATCATATATGTCCCAAAGGCTCCACCTTCTCCCCTGGCACTGTCTGTCAACATTTGTAATTGTTGATTATTCTGCAAGTAATGTTGTCAAACAGTGTAAACTAGGTCTCAATTTGTCTGTAATGCCCTTACTAAGACGTTACTGTTAATGCGTTTTGATAAACCCCAAATTGCATTTGTGAGCCTCCAAAGAAATGGACGACCAATTTGTGTGGCTCGGCATATGGAAAATGAGAATACCAGTGATTGATTCTGAATTCCTGAAAAGTGTTTTCTTCTTACCGTGCATTTCTTTCTATTTAGTTAGCTGGTACTTTCCGTGATTACAAATGCCTTATGTCGTTCACTGTAGGCATGATGGAGTTTTCGAAGTGCACAGCTTAGCTAACACCACATGGAGAGGCAAATAGTTCTGATCATAGTGACTACTAATTCAGCAGGATAAATTCCTGTCTTGGAAAGGGGATATAAAAAAATGTTCTTCAGGTGCTAACAGGACTTTTGCCATACTTACGGAGAACGTTACCACCCAAATCTTGAGCTGAAGTTCATCTTCAGCTGAAGCTTACTGAAAAAGACAAACCCTTGTCTAGAATCGTTCCTTGTGTATGACACACGTCTCACTGGAATTATATTACATCATGTTACAATGGAGAAGGACACGTGCATCCATGCATAATAGGTCTTCGTGCTAACTAACGGGATCGGGTGGTCAGGCTCGCTGACTCGGTTGGTGCATGCAATCTTATCCCATTTGCGTAGATTGATGGTCATAATGTCAATCACTGGATTGTCTGTTCATGATTATTTACACACAACCGTAAAACTGGAAAATTACGGCGTTAAACAACTAACAAACACACAGCACGTTCATACATGACAACAGAACATCATGTTTAGCAAAATGCAGATATATATACACACACACACACACACACACACACACACACACACACACACAAGAATAGTTTGTACTCGCTGTTCAGTACTGATGTAGGCCATCGACCCATGGTACATTATCTGATACAATGTACAACTTGTTTACTTATGCATTAATCAATATTTTAGTGCATGTGTGTAACTGTCACATGCAAGTTTTAACGACTCCCAGGCAAATAAAGTCACTACATGCTTGTCATTGCTGCTATCACTGGAGACTCAAGCGATACTGTGATGGGGTCATGTACATGCCCTAGGGTGTGAACACGTGCTGCATGTCGCTGAAAAGTGTAAAAGCCTCACTAATGTCGTTATGCTGTTATGTCACCAGGTGTTGTTACATGTAGATGATCGTTTCAGCAACATATGAAGTACCCCGGAACACCATCCCTCTAGAATTATAAAAAGGTTGAATTACTTGAACCATCTACACAGAGCGCTGTTATACTGTAACAGAAACATCTGTCTGCCCACATTAAGCTATGAGACCCGAAACAACATCTGTGCTGTTGTTCACACTTACACATCAGTTGCTGCAGTTAACTCGACATGTCCGCTGGGTCCTACTATTGGTTCAAGATTAAAGCGAATATTACAAAACAAGTGTAAGATTTAAGTGTCAGGTAATTTCCTCGACTTTCTGACAAATTAATGTTAATACGTATGTCTATATACTTCGCCATTACTTCGGTGAAGGAAGGGGAGGTAATTTACTGGTTAGGTCATATTCCTAGCACTTCACTAAGTAAACATTACTTTGAGTATTTATGTGCAACTATTGGTAACGTTGCCCCGTCTCTGAATTAGACCGCTGCTACAGCACTTTATTTTTGACATGCTGAGCATTCATATCAAGGGTCAAGGGTCAAGGTCATGATTTAGGTCAAAGCCTGAAATTTTTTGGAGGGCTCTGATCGGATAAGGTGGTATAAGGTAACATCACAGAGAGGATTATTCGTAGATTAGTTTTGCAATGTTCATAAAAATGACTTTTCTTGCTATTATTTATGCGTGTAACTATTGAATATTTATGTATCACAAGCGATACCAAAATAAATGAAAGTAGTTGTACGTCACTGACACCTACTTTTGAAGAAGCATTTGCTTTCCTTACGTTGTCACATTGAATTCAACCAAGGGATCATATTTAGTTCACTTTGCTGAAAAGTCCTTTAGAATGTTACAGAAATGCTAATGTTTCATAGTGAAGGTTAAATTTAATCTGAAGGTCAAACACTAAAACCTGTTTTGTGTGATAACTGAAAAATGTTCACTTCAGTTGAAATGTGTTACATGTCATCCTTTGATTGGAGCATTGAACTGGAAAAAAAATTGAAGTGACCTTCTTTGAAGGTTAAGGTCATTGGAATGGCATTTTTTAAGGCACTTGGCCTGTTTTGAGTACTGATCTAACCCCTTGTTATTGTATGACATGTATCTGTGTTATCAGTTAGCTTTATCCTGCCGATAACCTACCAAATATATCAAAAAGGCCTGTCTTGAACAGGTCACCTGTTTCCTGATCTGGTCACATGTTTCTGGTGGAGACTGAGGAAAAGGTTAGGATGGGGCTGCAAACACCTTTCGAGTTATTCTAGTTATTAAGGTCATTAGCGCAGGCCTTTCTGTTTCAAGGTTGTCCTGCGTTGGACATATGTTTTCTTAGAGCAACTTAGCAGCTTTGTTATCAAGACAGCTTCAGGCATGGTACTTTCTATTTGAAAGTTGTACTTCTGGGATGTTATTAAACCATAGTCCGTATAGGTTTGTTATTAAAGTAGTCTGAAGCAAAGAAATTTCTGTCTCGATATTGCATTTGGCATGTGTTTTTGCAATTGTTTATCCGCAAAATACCCAAATCCAGATATATCTTTAAGAAAATTGATACCTTACAGTCTTCGCTGATTAATATCTCCAATGTTATCTATATTTGTAACAGGCCGCTACCACCCCTAGAAAGAGATATATATTAAAATGAAATAATAATAACACTTCTCCCAGTATTTCTTCAGATTCCCGATAATCAATTCTGATTCGATCAACGATAGACAAGGGAGGCACCATATTTGTTTGTAAATGCTGAATGTTGTACTTTCCTGAACATATTTTATGCTGGTTTTAGCCGTTGGTGTTATACTGAAAAGTACTACCCAATACAATTGATATTGGTGAGATCAGTTGTTACCTAATTTGGTAAGTCAAAAAGTTCATGAAACTTATTTCTTTATGGAAGGCGATTTCTTGTTTTGGTTTATATCTATAATCTCCCTACTGCCATATTATCTTGGATGGGGTGTGTGCACGGGTGTCCCAGTCGTCTAAGGCGCCGCTATTCGCTGTGCAGAGTTGCGTTCCTTGAGAGCGCCAGAAACATATGATTGTGGGTTCGAATCACGGTTCGCCCTGATTATGTTTCTAGGTTTGTCAGCACCATACCCGTGCTCGTGGGTTACACCGAAGTGGTAAACATCTGAGACTGGCATCACTCCGGGCTTTCCTCCTACATTAAGATGACACACCGCAATATAACTGTAATACTGTTAAAAGCTGCGTTAAACCAAACTCACTCACTCACTCACTATAATGGTCACTGCGGGTTGGGATACCATAGTGATTGAAGCAATCAGTCATCATGACAAATATTAGGATTAAATTGCCAACCGAATATATCCTCGAGCTAAGCTCTTCGTACGACTCATACAAGTTGTGTCTGGCGTGCTTCCGCAAACATCTTGGCACTACCAGCAAGTTGAATGACTACTCGGTTTCAGCACAGTACGCACAGTTTCTCAGTGGTATTGGTAGGCTCAAGTACTCTTGATAACACAGGGTCAGTTCACGTCCATGACTTGATGTGAGCTGCTGTGATAACTGTAGAATGTACCAGATCATGGGCATGGTTGTATCTGCCAGATGTGGTGTGTCCTGTACATCTGGAGTATCATTGCGAGGTAATCAACTAAAGCAGTCACCATTGCCATGATTAACTCCTGCCTTGAATGAGAGCTGCAAACGTCAAATGGCATCTCTGTATGCGTGAAGCTGCAAGTGTGGGAACAGTCTTGTTTTCTCCAAACAATCCCAACAATGGTTTATGATCCGTCAAGATGGTTGAAGTGATGTCAAAACAAATATTCATTAA